CATTTGGCAAGCACTTACGGAGTAAATGCATTCTGGGCAAGATAATCCTCCCTCAAGAGTTTGGCAGTTTCCAAGGTAATCTTATCTGATTCAGCTAGAGCATCTTTCCCTACAAGCTGGATAAAGGCAAATGAGTTTAGTCCCGAATGGAGAACAACACCCACATATATTGGATTCAGAGTATAATCTATCAATAATGGCGGTACAGGAAAGAAGGGTGCAGTTGACTATCTCGATCTTTCATAAGTAAAAAAATAAAAAATAAAAAAATGATGAGGTATAGCCACAATTTCATGATTAGATGTACTGGCATCACCATGGCCATCGGCCGATAGAAAATATCCATGGTCCCTTATTGGTGGTTTTCTTTACCCCATTAAATTTAGAGAAACAGAAATGACATGCAAACAAAGCAAATACCTGCACAATTTCATTCAGATCATCTTCTCTCTGCAGAACTTCACGAGCTTTTGTCCTGATGTCAATAAAATCTGGATCGAACTTCTCATAGAAGGATTCCAATGCCTGGGAAAAAGAAAAGCAGCTAAAGCATCAGTAAGTGACCAGGAGGAATAAATCCACACATCAAACTGAAAGAAGTGGCTAGATTAAATACTGAAGAACTAAAACATACCCCTGAATAGTTTGAGTAGGAAATGAGCCAGTTCACGGATGGAAAATGCTTCCTCTGAGCCAGTTTTTTGTCCAGACCCCAAAAAACCTGAAAATTTATTTTTAAGTAGAGTAAAACATAGTACATAAAGTATGAATCCACAAGATGTTTGCTCTCCGAATTTACCTGAACGATACTGAGGGTAGCAGATGTAACAGGATCTGAAAAATCTCCTCCTGGAGGAGAAACTGCACCAACAATAGTGACACTTCCGTTCCTTTCAGGCCCACCAAGACATTTAACTTTCCCAGCACGCTCATAGAATGATGCTAAACGTGCCGCCAAATACGCAGGATATCCGCTGTCTGCAGGCATCTCAGCCTGTACAGAAAATATAATGCTCGTAAATAAATAACAAAACAAATTACATGTCCCCTTACACCAATAGCATCCGATCACTTAAACAATCAATTGAGATTTGAGCAATTAGCCAGCAATAAGAGAGACTTGCAGTTTATCACTCCCGGATATGATTAACTCTCCAAAGTAATATACCAAAAACAATCTGCCTACTATCATAGGGACAAGGTAATAAGAAGCCAGTTTAAATCGTTAAGTGATCTGGATACATACCAGTCGACCAGAAATTTCACGCAATGCCTCTGCCCAACGAGAGGTTGAATCTGCCATCATACTGACGTTGTATCCCATATCTCTGAAGTATTCAGCTATGGTAATTCCTGAACACATTGAGATGATGAATTATTAGCTAAAGCATAAATCATTCACTTGCTTCTACTTTGGAGATATGAGTGCCATCATGTGGACATTGCATCACATATCACTGAAGTATCCAGCTATGGTAATTCCTCAACACGTTCAGATGATGAATTATTAGCTACAGCACAAAGCAACCACTAGCTTTTACTTTAGAGATACGAGTTAAGTTATGCAAACCACAGGGTCAAGATATAATGGTGATGACTAAATATATATTTCTACAACATATTACTGAAGAACTAAATATGTTCACTCACAAAGAGAAGAGGAATCTTATTATTGACTCCTACATGTCATATTACCACTAGACAGCAAAAATTTCCCAAGATAAAAGTCAATGTAATCTCCTTACCAGTGTAAATTGAAGCCTCACGAGCAGCCACAGGCATGTTGGAGGTGTTAGCAACAAGCGTGGTACGTTTCATGACAGATTCCTCACGACCATCAGGCAGGGTCATAGTCAATTGAGGGAAATCCATAAGCACCTACAGTATACATCTAAAATCAGACACCGTAAATACGCCTCAATCTGATTGAACAAGCCAAAGGATAACTACGTACCTCAGCCATTTCATTTCCTCTTTCTCCACAGCCAACATAAACCACAGTGTCCGAGTTAGAATACTGCATTTGCAAAGCAAGTTTAAATATGCAAAAAGGTTTTAGCAACATAAACTGATCGACAACATTCTGTATAAAATGAACAATTTGATATGAAGGAAATCAGTGAAGTTCACCTTGGAGAGTGCCTGACTGATAACAGTTTTCCCACAACCAAATGCGCCAGGAATGGCACAAGTACCACCAAGCACAGACGGAAATAAAGCATCAAGTACACGCTGAACAGAATAAAGTAATTAGACCAGAAGAATGGAGATCTGAAACATATAAGTCCGAGAAAACTGCATTTGTATTCACCTGTCCAGTCAAGAGAGGAGTGTCAGCAGCAAGCTTGGAAGCTACAGGCCTAGGTGTACGTACGGGCCAGGTCTGCAAATAAGTAAGTGTCAGATTCACTTAGTTATTCAAACCATGTAAAAACTAAAGCAATTTAACCACATTTAATAATCTTTGCAGTTCAAACAAAAGAAAAAGGGCTTAACCTGAAGCATGGTAAATTGTTTTTTGACACCTTGAAACTCAAGCTCAAGGACAGTATCCTGCAAAAGGTCAGGCAAGTTCAATGTATGCAACAAAACTTTCTTATCCTAAAATCTAAAACTGTGGATTAACTACAACTGGTCAATAAAGAATAGAACAAACCTTTAATGAGTATTGGCCTGGTGGTGCGATGTAGGTTATTTTACCCATAGCTTCAGGTGGAAGAGCAACACGATGTTGCACTAAGGTGTTCTCAAAAACAGTCTGCACCGAGAAATGATGCTCAAAAATTAAGGCTTAGTTTCTAAGCAAAGGAATTTAAACAAGAGAGACCATATTTCTACAGGCTGCCTAATACTGTCAAACTCACCGCATACAAGTCACCACCTGTTAAAAGATCTCCTTCTCCTGCCATCGGAAATCATAGTCAATAAGGATGATAGCAAAATGGTGGTAGATATATACTTTGATTCAAAATACGGAAGTTAGTATCCAATTAGATATATACTGTCAGACATAAACAGATCTTGTTTACCTATTTTCTTTGGCTGAAATTCCCAAAGAGTATCTTTGTCGAGTGCTGGGACA